CTTAAGCTCAAGGAAATGAAGAACAAACTCAAGCCTAGAGTTGCTATAATCAAGGATGCTTTAGGCAGAATATTAAATGATCCAGGAGGTATTAAAAGAAGATGGAAGGAATATACTGAGTCACTGTATCAAAAGGAATTGGCAGATACAGAAGAATTTAATGAAATAGCATTTGAGCAAGAGCCTATGGTGATGAAGGAAGAAGGTCAAGCTGCTTTGAAGGAAATAGCAAAAAATAAGGCCCCCAGAATAGATGGTATGCCAATTGACATATTTCAGCTAACAGATGTTGCCCTGGATGTGCTCACCAAGTTGTGCCAAGAAATCTGGAGAACAACCAACTTGGCCAACTGACTGGAAGAGATCTATATTTGTTCTCATTCCAAAGAAGGGTGACCCAACAGAGTGTGGAAACTACAGAACAATATCACTGATTTCGTATGCAAGCAGGATTCTACTGAAGATTACCCAAAAACGACTGTCTAAGGTGAGCAAAGTAAAAAAGATTCAGGTATACCTTTGATTTTTACGACAAAAGCTACATCTGCATATTGTTTTTGTTCTTGTTGATTGTCTTTGAGTTGAGCCCGACTCATAGTGACCCTATGAACAAAAGGCCTGAACATTTCTAGAACTACTGAAGTTCATAGGGTTTCCGGAGGCATGTTGTTTACGAAGTGGATGCCACTCCTGCTTCCAAACATCCGTATGGTCTACAGTTTTTCTTGCTTATGTTCCTTATCCATGACCAAATGCTCTTCTATCTAATTCAGTGAGCCTGGTGGCACAGTCCACTGTGAGGTGTCATGCGAACCCAAAGGTCACACCTGTCCTGTGTTTTGAATCCACCAGTGGCTCCACAGGAGGACAGGCGGTCTTCTCGTCTTGCTGTGATTTACAGCCGTGGCAACACAACAGAGGCTGCTGTGAGTTGGAACGAACTCCATGGTATTAAGTTTTCTGAGTAGACGGTTAAGTTCAAATTCCTAAAATGAACTTTTAAAAACTCTCTATATCTACAGCGGATAGGGTTAGTTTTATCTTTTTTTGGTTGTTCATTTTGCAAAACATCCTTTACCCTTCTCTTTCTTCCCCTCCTTCCTTTACCCTTTTCCTCTTAAGGGCACCTTATTACTTCTCGGGAAGACCATCTCCAACAGCAATTTCAACCTATGAAGTTTGATGAAGCAGGACTTTCTCTCAGGAGGCAGCTGACAGGAGCTTATGATCCAATCTTGGCTGGTGGAAGAGACATTAACCAGCTGACTTTGAGATGTATGATCACAGCTGCAGTAGTCAGTTAGTTCTGGAGCTTTCCTAGAACCACTGGGAAAGCAGCAGTCTACCACCTCTGGAGATGGTCAATTCTGACTTGAAAAGATCTTTTTTACCAAGTAGGTACAAATAATCCAAGAGATGAAAAAAAAAAAAGGTCCAGATAGTGTTTCCTGAGTCCATAAATCTAGCTTTATTTCTGAATTCTTCGGATATCTGCATTAATGTATTACTTTTATCCTGTCCTGTGCCATGCCTGTCGCCCCTGACACACTCCAGCCTACCTTACACTGTGTCAGTCTGTCCCATGGAGGTATTCCCCTCCTCTGTTGATCGTCAACTTTTCTAAGAACTGGTCCCTCCTAAAAATATGCTCAAAATATGTGAGATGAAGTGTCACTAGCCCTGCCTCCAAGGAGCACTCTGGCTGCACTTTTCCCAAGACATAGCTGTTTATCCTTCGGCAGTCCGTCCATTCAGCACTCTTCTCCAGCACCTACCATTTCCAACAGAGGTAACTGTTGTTGCTGCGCACTACAGAGTTGTTGTGTATTTTATCAGTCAGAACCGACCGACAGCTGACCCTCTGGCAGGTTTTCCGAGATAGTTAATGGTATGAGAAGAGGCTGCCCATCTTTCTCCCATGGAGCATCTGGTGGGTTTGAACTGTGTGCCTTTGGGGTTGTAGTACAGTAGAGCCTCTACTCTATCCAATGCTCATTTGGACTTTCTGTCCCTCAAAAATTTTTGTGATTTCCTCTTACTAGGTATATGGAATGTCACTCACTCACTCACTGCCAATGACTTACTTGTGCCTCACAGCAAGCCTCCAATGGGCTTCTAAGGTCACAAGGCTTAATGGGAGGAGGGGGCTTATCTTTCTCCTTGGAGCTTCTGGTGGACCCAGACTAGCAGGGATGCCCAGCCTTTGGTTAGCAGAGTGACACGGAAGGGACTATGTCACCTGATTGCCCTTCTGGAATGTATGTATGTATGTATGTATGTATCTATCTAATTTTTAAGATAAACTTTCGTTTCTGGTTTGTAGCATGACAATTGTAGTTTTGTGGCTTGTATTATTAATATTTATGACGGGCTGGAGGAGTAATCCATAGGGAATTACAACTGCTAACCAAAGGCGGAGCCTCTCTGACCCTGGACCCCACCAGCAGCTATGGAGGAGCAAGATGGGCACTGCTCTCCTATGAGATCTGCGCTCTATGAAATCTCACTGTAGCGATGGCTGTAAACTGGTTTCAACGTGAGAGCAAAGTTTGAGTTTTTGAGATCATTAATATTTACATCAAGTGTGTACTTACTATC